AAGTTGATGTGTTGGAAGCAGGAAAAATGGGCAAGTGTAAGGATCTGAGTGACTTTGACAAGGGCCAGACTGTGATGGTGAGATGACTGGGTCAGAGCATCTCCCAGTCTGCAGGTCTTGGTGGGTGTTCTTGGTCTGCAGTGGTTAGTACCTACCAACAGTGTCTAAGGAAGGACAAATGGTGAACTGGAGACAGGGTCATGGACGATCATGGCTCACTGATGATGAGGTTGACCTACTGTAGATTCAACTTTTAACTTCCATTTGTACTTTTCAAAAGATTAAAATTGATTTGAACCTTTGTTAAAATGGTTTAAAATTAGAAATACTGTACATTGGTCTCTATGAAGAGAAAGAGTCAGGGGCTGTAGTGGTGATATCACACCTAGAGAGGTGAGGCTGTTGAATTTGTCTACAAAAAATTCTCTCTAACTCGTCCTCACAACCACAGTTTTCACTCCTTTTACACAAGTTTGTCACTGAATTGTAGACGCATCTGTGCTCTTCCTGACAGTAGAACTGTGGAAGCAAATAGATTCACAGAAGATGCACAGTGAGCTGCAGAGTGACATGAGTGCCAACCAACTGCCATATTGACTCCTAGTATTAGGCAGGTGGTCATAATGTTATGGCTGATCGGTGTACTGTAATTGAAATCAGAGGAATAAAAAGAAAATAATTTCTGTTTATAAACGTGATGCAAAAAAGATAGTATTATGGCACATTTTTATAGTATTTAATGATCCTTCTGTAGATTTCTCACCAACCTCTTACATTTGCTATTCTTAATGTTCAGGTTACCTTAGTTAGAAAATACCTCTGAATATTGGGAAATAATATTTTACTCCTTGTATCTTGCACTTGTGTAATTGGAATGAATTAAAAAAAAAAAAAAAAGAGAGAAAAGATCTGATCCATTCACCTGACTGCACAGTAACAAAATACCGGGCAAGTGTTTCTTACCTGTATGTTCTTGGGGACGTTCTCTCCCTCAGTTCCTGGGATGTGTGTCTGTGTGTTGGGTCGTGGCTCCAACCAGAAAGAAACCAGCCAGCGGATAAAGATGACTTGAGCCTGAAGGAAGCTCTCCTTGGTGCAGTACAGTGTTTCTCCGCCATCCTGCTCCCTGCGCACCACACTGTAGTACGGCTTAGGACGCATCGGAGGCACGTCTGCAGGGAAAGCAGAAAATCTTTCTTTATTCATGTGATGCATACAACATTATTGTTCAGTCCAAGTGTTCCAAAGGGATTCCAGATCAACAGCATCTAGTAGCTCTTAATGACTGTACTGACCCAGTATTGGGTTGTAGAGGCTGGTTTCCATGGCGAAGCTGGGAAATATATGAGGAAGGTAAAATTTCCTGAAGTGCCCAAAAAGGAAGCTGAAGCTACGTTCATGGTTCTCCTTACAACGCCATTCAAGAGACTTGGCCTGGGGGATGCGCACACACAAAGACAAACAAGCTTGTGTTATAAAGAGAGCATCACACACACAAAATGAGCAAGTGGAGAAGGGCACCACTGTTTTAGGGCAGAATGGGAGCATGCATATCTGTGTGACTGCAAGAGAAGGGAATATGAGAACAAAAGTCAATTTGTGTCAGTGAGGATTTGCATTTGAGGAAATTAGTGATACCAGTTAGGGATTAGATGAATACCAAGTTTGTATATAGTAATGTCAGACAGTTAGTACCTGGGTACCACCCCATATGCTTATTAGCACTGCTGACATTAAGAACATTTTCAGCAGTGTAATTATGAAGTGTTAACTGTGTTAGTAAAAATTAATCCTAATACCTGGTTTACCATGTATTTCAGTAGTGCTTCTAGGAAGTAGGCAGTGAGGTCTTCCTGGTTCTTGTCACCTGACTGTGGAGGGACCAGTGGCGTGATCTCTTCTGGGGTCACCTGAGCTACAAAATGGGAGGCAGGGAGAATAAATGTTTATAATACAAGGTGTAATGTGTTCTGCCTTGTCCAATCTCTGTATTACTTGTATGGAAAAATATCTATCACTTCAAATCACATCCAAGATATCGTGTCAAAAGTTCGTAATAATCAGTGGCTATTAATGATGTTCTTCTTCTTCTACTTTGATTTGATTTGATTTATTCTTTCAAGCATGTAAAGACAGTTGATATGTCAACACACATAATTTTACACATATCCAACAAATGCTAATCCAATATCCATGTGCTTATACCTAGTACATGCTTGAATGGAGTAGGAAGAAGTCAGACTTATCCAGTCCTACCCCCTAACATCATCTTACCATCATTGGTTTGCAAGCAGTATTTCTTTCACTTCTACCACACAAGCATTATACTAAAAAAAATATAACAGAGTGTTAACATTCTTACATAATTACATTCTTAAATAATTATCTTCTACACCACACAAGTAATATA